AAGTCAGCAACATAGAATACGTTTCAGTTGTGAAATTCTTAAAACAATTAATTCTTGCTAGCTAGCTTAATTACCACATTGGCCTTGATCTTTAATAGGTGTTACTGCACCTTTCTTTCTCCAGTCCATCGATGAGGGGACAGCTGTCAAGTTTTCATACCTGAAAGCAGAGCTGGATGTGGAACATTCATGTGCCTTGAATCGGTTCCTTGTGCTCGTGAACTCTTGGTTTGTAAGGTCTGCAAACTCATTCACTGCTAGTTTGTAACCTTTGTTCATGCCATTGTTGGATGAGTGTATGTACTGAACGTTCTCTTGGAAAATCTTTGAACGCCGTTCTTTCTCATCAGCATCCTTGTACACACGTCCGTAATGAGCCATCCATTGCTCGTGGCTCTCATAGCTTGAAATGTCAGGGAGCAACCGGGATGCAGTGTGTGAAAGCAAAGTAGCCGAGAAGAAGAGTAAAACCAAACATGCCAGGGATATGCGGTTTGTGGATGGCATAGACATAGTGGTTGTAGATATATGAAATAGGGAATATGAATATAAGTTGGAGTAAACTCTTTACTGAGAGGCTGGCTTTATATAGAAAGAAATGATTTTGTCCTTGTTTGAAAAATGAAATATATATATTTCAAGTACGTAGAAGATCAGATGGTCTGATTAATATTATATTAATTAAATGAAGTTAAATGCCGGGTACAAGTTGTTTAGATAGAGGATTGATGACACTACCCATGTTGGATTTCCATTTTGGACTCTAGTATTGCTGAATGCTAAAACTATTGTGTACTCATTCATTCTTTTAACTTAACATAGGCAAATGTAAGTTAAAAGCTTATCGAACATAACTTGGTCACTATTTAGGTATCTAGTTGTGTCCTATATATATATATATATATATATATATATATATATATATATATATATATATATATATATATATATATATATATATATATATATATATATATAGGTTCAATGGAAAATGAACAATTAGGGCAACATATGCTGGAACCAATGATCAACTGACATGTGTCCATTTCTTTATTCATAAGCAATCTACTATGGAAGTTATTTATGTAGTTATTCCAAAATGATGTGTTATCATGCTTTCATTGGTTCCAACATGTGTTGCCCTAATTGTTTATTTTCCATATAACCATTCCCTATATATATATATATATATATATATATATATATATATATATATATATATATATATATATATATATATATGTTATGGGAGAAATTGTCTAAGAGTCTCATGATATATATTTTTTTATATATAATCACTACTAGAAACTTGAGTTTTATCTACGGATTTTGCTACAGATTTATTCTCTAACAAAAATTTAGATTTATAGCTAGGGAAATACAACAGATCTACCATGTTTTTCATAATTATTTTATTTATTTAACATATAGAATATTAGTGAGGATTTACCTAGGGGTCACCTACAGATCTCGCAAGGATTTAAGGATGCACCACTATTCCTCGCTAATCACTCGAAAAATGAAGAAGCTTAGCTAGGGTTCAACGAGGGATAAAAAATTGTGCCATCTGGTACCCGTTTAGCCAGAGAACGCCGATGGAAACGATATTTGGGATACGCGCGTTTTGTTTTTTCTATCGCCAATCTCTCGCGCTGAAATTGGCACAACCCAGTTCCATCTTCACGAAGGTGATGTAACTTTCCTTCCCTCCAGCTTTATCACTCTTGACTTTGGAGTAAGTTCCCTTCATCTCTGTTCCGGTTCTGCTTTATCTCACCATCTCCGTTCGAACAGAAGACGACACTATTCATCCGATTCCGGCAACCTCCACGTCTTTAAATCTGAAAGCATTCTTAATTTACCTTCGTTAGGGTTTAATTTACCTTCCGGTTTAGGTAAATCTCATCCCTCTTAGGTTAGTTATAGTTCAATTTCACAATATACTTCGTTAGGGTTTAATTTACCTTGAAACTTTCTGGTTATTGTGTTAGGGCTACCATCGATTGCATCTATACAAGAATAGACACTTAGAATTAGAACTTGAGTTAGGGCTTGATTCATCTAGTTTCTCAATTTTCATGCAATTCGGAAGAGCTACAACAACATCATTCTCCCCAGATTTAATTATCACAACACCAGGACAATCCAACAATTGAACTTCTTGAATTGTTCTTCTTAGACCTGGTGTAGCCCCAACATTGGCAACATGACATTTTTTCAAGCTATTAATTAGCCCCTACATTAGGCAAGCCAACTACACCCACAGTGATCGACTTTTTACTCTGCATCAAATTTGGAGTACGCCATCAGTAGAAAACTTATAAGTTAACACCACATGAAAAACAAGATAAAAAGGTTGAAATGTCTACATCATGACTTCTTGAGTAATTCTTGACTTTTTAATCGACTTTATAAGAGTTTCTGCTCCTAGGCAATCACTTGTTTGTAAAAGATTAGTCGTCTTTTTTGCAGCCTTTGAGGATTTCCATCCCAAATTAGATTTCTGATGTTGAGTGCTACACTTAGAAGCAACTGCTGACAACTCCTCTTTTAGTGACTTTCTTTTGATTTTCCGTTTAATTTTTTGGTGAAGCGAACAGAATCTATACCTGATTAGTTATTTTTCAACCATCACACATAAAGAGTTCTTTATGTATGATTTTGGTTTTTACTTCCTTTTTCATGCTTAGTTGATTGATGATATTCAGCAAAGTACTACTTACTTGTAATTTATTATAATTTTCTTTATGGGTTTCTTTAGACAAAACTAATTATCGGTTTTAGCTGTATCATACGCTTTTATATTGTGATTCTTTTCTATAGACATTACACTAATTATCAGTTGTTTTCTTGAAGTGATCTCAAAAGGCTATCTATGGAAGGAATACTCACACCTGAGACGTCTGTAAGTGTCATGTTCTTTCACATAACCCTTTTCCAATGTGTCATTAGATTTAGCTTGTGTTTAAGGTTTTTTCCTTTTTTTTTTTTTTACAGGTTTTACTCATTGTAGTTGGTTTTTGTGGACTTATCTTGACTTTTCTTAACTTTGGGGGTCAGCTTCTTTTTCACTTTTGTTATAGGCAACTGGATTCCGTTGTTAACAAGATTCACTTCTATCTAGCCATCTTCAACAGGTGTATCTTTCAAAGCAAATGTATCATCTTTTTTAACAACTTTTATAGATTTATCACATGTTATTTAACTAACTTCTAATGGATTCCTATGAGTCAATCTCTTGACTTTTCTTGACTTTGGGGGTCGGCTTCTTTTTCCAATGTCTACTTCATGAAAGGAACATTTCTAATTCTCATTTCCTGTTTCCTCATTGTTTTTCATTTTGGTTTTCTGGCATATTTAACTTAGTTTTAAATTGAATTACAAAATGGAACCTGTGCTTTCTACGATTTACTATGTTTGGTGTTTAGTCCATAATGGATTGTTAAATTAGTATTGCCTCCATATATACAACACAGAGTAGATGTCATATATGAATTTGTCAATCCTCACCATATATGAATTTGTCAATTGTCATGTCACAATATAATTATACACATTCATTTATCATCAATGGCTTCTTTAGTTCTTTAAAAAAAATTATCGTATGATATGACATTAAGCATGATAGTATCTAATTTGTAGTTGATTACAATCTTTATAATTGCAGGGAGTCACTGAATGCTCCTGGATGTGATGCAATCCATATAACTGAAATTGAAATAGACATTGATTGCGACACTTTCATACCATCTATCAACACTTTAGAATTCCAACCATGGTATTCGTCATTCCCACAACTTGAGAATGGAATCCTCCATTCCTTCACTACATATATTCGTGTGAAAAGCTCAGGAATTGAAGCCCCCAAGGTTAATGGTTCATTGTCTGAATGTCATTCCGACTGACCAAAATTTGATGCAAGAATGTTCTCTTTGACCAACAGGAACAACTTGGAAGGGCCTAAAAATGGCAAAGCTTCAACTCTCACCATTTCCAAGAAACTCAAGTTTGTTTTAATGAAAAAAGCTGATCAAAAAATACCTCCATAAGAAGCAGATCCAACACCTTTGGATACAAGTGTCCCAATGGCCTGTTGCAAACATGAAATATTACTATATTAGCCCCTAGAATGTTTATGTTTCTTAATCATAAATTCAAATAGTTTAGAAAAGGGCAAAATGGTAATTTTCCAAACCGGTGATCGTTTCTAGGCTTGAAGACTTTACTAGATATGATTTAGCAGTTGCTGTGTCAAAAGAATTCGCCACTGCTTTTCCTGATCGCACTTTCATCTCTCTTGTAGTTGACCTTCTTAGTAAAAATGGGTGAAATGGTAATTTAGTAATTTTCATTTTCGTGTTGTCCTTCAATCATGTGCTTAAATGACATGGCTTTTTCAGGTAAAAACAATGGAAAAGGGTAGCCAATCTTATGCCACAAGGAAAGGTAATCCATTTGTACCCTTGGGACATACTAAGGGAAATTTTGTCATTTTGTGTTTTTTCTGTGTAGACTGTAGCCATGACTGATGATGAAATAGTAGAGATAGTGTTGTTCCCTGTGGTGAATGAAGCATGTCATGTTTTAGAGGAAAAAATTATTGTTAAAGCATCCGATCTTGACATTGCATCTTTTCTTGGGATGAGTTTTCCTTTGATATCGGTATGTTCATAATTGAATATTAGCAATATAGTTTGCAAGAATAAACAATTTTAGATAAAAAAAAAGTATTTTGCATTTACTTAATGTATTTCACAATGTGTTGAAGTGGTGGCATTGTTTTTTTGGGCAGATGTTGTTGGGAGTAAACACATATATACAAGTCTGAAAAATATGGCAACTTTTATAAACCATCAAGATTCTTGGAAGAAAGAGCCATGAATGGTGTCCCATTGGTGAGTTTACTTTTTTATCCTCAATCTCTTTTACTTAATGGACTTAATGGGACATATATAAACTATATATTGGTGTTCTTTTGCACAGTGCACCTATAAATACGGGTTCTAGAGCATGTATGTAAGCAAGGGTATACAACTATATGTTCATGGGTTGAGTTATATGAAGCTAAGTATGATATGAAACATGATACTTTGGTAACTTTGACAGTTTTTGTATATTATAATGCTTGGTTGTATCATTATTTGATGTTTTTTAGTATAATAATTTGATGATTGTAGTATTTTTTCTTTTAGAATCATAACAAAAAAAAAGATACAAGTTCGCGATGGATTAGTGACAAAATAATAATAATAATAATAATAATAATAATAATAATAATAATAATAATAATAATGCATGTCTATATGCTCATAGGTTGAGTTATATGAAACTAAGTATGACATGAAACATGATACTTTGGTAACTTTGATAGTTTTTGTATATTATAATGTTTGGTTGTATCATTATTTCATGTTTTTTAGTATAATAATTTGATGATTGTAGTATTTTTTTTCTTTTAGAATCATAATAAAAAAAAGACATTACAAGTTCGCGACGGATTAGTGACATAATAATAATAATAATAATAATAATAATAATAATAATAATAATAACGCATGTCTAAAGTTTGCGACGGATCATCAACGGATTTTTTTTTAGTATATGAACTTTGCAAGGGATTAGCTACGGAAAAAAATCATGTCTAAAGTTTGCGATGGATCAGCAACATATTTTTTTTAGTATATGAACTTTGCAAGAGATTAGCTACGGAAAAAAAATTGATCAGGGAAATTGCGACAGAACAGCGACGGAATGTCTTTAACAAATATTGTCGCTAACGTCCTCAGTAAATGTGTTGAGTGACATTTGGCGACAGTTATTCTGTCACTAAATTTGTCGCAAGGAAAAACCGACCCGTCGCTAAAACCCTCGTTGAGTCATTAGCCATCTTTTATTTACCTATGGAGTGAATCTGTCGCTGATCCATCGCAAACAACATTTAGCGACGGAATAGCGACGGATTCGTCTGTCTCTAAAACCCGTGTTTCTAGTAGTGAATCATTTTTTCTTGGTTGGTTTTTAATGTTCCAGATTCAAATATGCATGCACAATTGCATATATTTGATAATTAGATTTGTATTTAAATTAATGTACTTTAATAAAAAATATAAGTTAGAGCATCTTGTTGAGATGTTCTTCATTTCATTGAAGTATACCTTTAATTTAACCATATAATATTCTATTTAACCTCAAGGATGAGAAATTTAAACAATTTGATTTTGTATTTAACCTCAAGTGAAGGATTACAAATACTGAATATACTAGATTGCGATGCGGAAGCGGACAATCGTTGATTTCACCGGTGGGGAGAATAAACACATATCGTCAAATCCTCAGAAACGCAACCTTAATATCGCTATCTTTGCCTTAGAACGCTATCTTTTGTCTCTCTCAAGATCCAAAGTGCTTCACTTCAAAAAACACATCAAAACATGCATTTATAGTCCATTTCGTATAGTTAAAAACTGCCAAATAATTGTTATGTAACCTCTATAACCGCCACAAACACTGTTGTGAAACCACCCATGATGTCGGTTACAAAATAATTTTGGGAACAGGTCGCCATGGGTAAGTTTTTCCAATATCCCAACCCCTAGACAAAATACTATATTATTTGTAACTTAGTTGTGGCAAACATTTCATTTGAGAAACAGACCGTCAACCGACATGTTTGTTTGGAAGCTTACATGCCATACATGTAACGTCCGAAAAACACGGGGTATAAATTTCATTTTTATTATAGTCAAAACACTATTGTAACTTTGTTCAAAACATTGAAAAGCATTTCATGTTATACAGTTATCTGAGTTCAATCTTAAAGATCACATAATCCGGAAAACACAGGTGTATGCGCTGCGATCATCCCGGACTCTATTATTTAAACACTAGAGTACCTGAAACAAAATTAAATAGTGAGTTCTCCAAATACCACATATCATACATAAGAAAATGATCCACACATGGCATACATAATCACGAGCAATACATAACATTCATATATCATAATCAATAAAAGTACTATGTGTCGCATAGTGGCGAGTCTAGAATAGAAACCCAAGTGGTTCACTAACTAGGGTCGGTTCAAGAAAAAAATCGAGTTCAACCAGAAAAATAACCAATTCAACATGTATAAAAACTAATGGTGAGATGACTGAGCCCAAACCTATAAACCTTAATTTTTTTTAATGTTAAAATCAACATAAATTTAAGATAAAGTCGATCTGTTAATTCTTATTTACACATCTAATAGTCAGTAATAAAAAAGTGTGTGAGTAAATGTTTTTCATTTAAAGTAAAAATGAAATGAAAATCTATTTAAAAGGAAACAAGAATAAAAAAGAAACTAACAAAATGGATATAAATTCACGATCAAACTGGAAATGATTTGTTTGCGGGTTCCCCCGAAGCAGAAATGTCAATAAATAAGACATATGTTTATTTTTATTATAACTCAGAGAATAAAATAAAAAATAATAATATGATAATGTAATAAAAGAGAGTCCATTATCCTAAATGGAATTGGAAACTAAAGTGGCAAAAACCTATTGTTTCTAAATAATTTGAATCTTCGTTCCATTGCTTCAGCTCTATTTCAATAATTGAGTTCTTTTTTTTTATCGACCCAAAATCTTTTTCTCTATTTTCTTTCATTTCTTTATAAGGTAGGTCATTCAAAAACCTTTAGGTGGTTCTTGCTATATAATTTCTATTATTATTTACAAAATTAGGTGGGTCATTTGACCCACCTTAGGCATGCATAAACTCACCACTGGTGCGCACATAGTCTTGCCATTATGCCACGAGCCGCCTCATGGTCTTCCTTGCCAAGTCGGGGGTCACAACCCTGGGCACATTTCAGGGGTAAGGAACCTCCTCCTTAAGCTATTCCATTATTGATACATGAATGGTGGTTGATTTAGGATTCATTAGCTTGTTTGGGGAGCTATCTCGAGTTTGAGGCTTAGAATTGAAGTTGCTACTTCAGATCTAGACTTGTGGCCCAAAAGGTCATAAAGTTCCTGTCTAAGAGGTATTAGTGAAGCCCTTTGTCTTTAACCCTAGCCCTAGAAGTGTTTTGGGCATATATCTCCTTGCTTTCACGTAAAGTTTGCAACTTTATGTGAGGGTTAGGCTGGAGAAGAGTGGATCTATGGATTAGAGTCCCTTCATGGCTTGAAAAGCCTCTGTATGGAATGAGAACTGAAGAGACTTGGCGAGTCACATGGGTGTGATCGATGAATTGTATGATTATGTGCATGGACTCGTCGAGTTGGAAGAACAAATCAACGAGTCTGTTGAACATTGCCTAGGACTTGGCGAGTCTATGCTTGGACTCGGCGAGTCTAGTCGTGAAGTCCTAACCTTTTCTGGTTGAGCTGTGAATCGGTGAGTCTTGGCCTCTGTGTGCAACTCCATGCTTTGAATGTTGAGCGTTCACGATATGAACGCCCCACGTTCGAGCCTTGCCTCTAACCAAAGCTAGTAATTAAGGGTTCTAGGCTAGAAAATCCTCCATACTTAATTGGTTAAAGCTTATGCATGCAATATGAATCTCATAATTCTGGAGATGCTACAACACTCTTTGGAGTCTCTGGTTAGTCAGATCATTTGAATAGGTGTGTGAAGATTGCTTTGTATTTGGATGATTTGCTACTATGGGGCTGACTCTAATAGCAAGAGACGGAAGTAGAATGCAATAAGAATCAAATGGGCTAAATGGTAGAAACAACAACGTACTTGCATATATTATTTTATTACAACATCCCGTTTCCTTTATATTGTACTTTGAAAATAAACCTAGTTATAACATTGTAGTTTCATGTTTTTCTCTTAGTAACACATTATACTTTGAAAATTTTATCTAGTCATAACGATAACAATAAGATTTTTATTGTATTTGGATGGCATTACTATAATTATGTTGATTTTTCTAAGTATAATGTTGTAATATGCTACAATAAATGTAGGATGCTATGGTAAACAAACCAACATAAATACATTGCTATTTTTTTTGTAACCCAATCCAATGTCATTCGTTTTTTTTTCATCTCCTTTATAGCATTGTAGCTACAAAACTCCAGCATCCTCTAATTTTATAAGATCTACGATCATCACCATCAAGTAAAGGCTTCACAAATAGGTTCTGAACCTCTCATCATACTCTTTTTCTTCAAATTGGTTGTCAGTTTGGTTAAAGAGTATTAATGTTAACAAAAAAAAAAAAAAAAAAGAAACGGAGGAAAAAATACCATGCTCTTGTGTTGGTGACTTAGCTAGTGTTACGGGTAATTGCCAACATGTAATTTGTAGGAACCTTTTATTATATGCAAAGATAAATGATATACTTTGTAATTGAAAGAATATTTCAGATACTTAACTAGTGTTATGGGTAATTGCGAACATGTAATTTAGGTTTTTGGGCCCCATCATATTTTATACCAAAAATAAGATAATAAAATCAACTTCGCCGACATTTGTTTTGGTTCGATTTGATCTCCTATAAACTAGTTTTTTGTTTGGTTTCATCGCCTAAAATTATAGATGGTGAAATGCAAGGAAACTTGGGCACAAGCAAACTCTTTTCTTCTTCGTAAAATTATGAAGTATTATACAATATAAACATGTGGCAGACGGAATTCGTTTAGCTGGATTGACGAACCAACCATCCACCAACC